TGATCTGGTGTCCAGGACACGCAGGCCTGGAGGGGAACGAAAGTGCCAACGCTTGTGCTCGAGGGCTCACGAACCGAGCAGAGCTTCGACAGCACATTCGATCCTTTGAAACACTCCAGCAGGAAGCTATTGAGGAGGATAATGACCCACCCAGAATGGCCCCTCGCAAAATTCTTGCTAACCAGCGAGGCATGCGACAAAAATATAGCGCCCCCCATGAATCATTAGAAGGGGAGGACGCAACTGACCTCCGCCGAATTCAAACGGGAGTCTTTCCCAATCTTTAAAGATTACACAAAATTTTTTTAACGCTGTATGGGCATGCGTGTCTGTGGTGTGGCGGCTCGCCATCACTCTACCACATTTCGTGGGGATGCCTAAAACGACCACCAAATTTAGATACCTTTTTAGGTCAGTACAAGCTTCGTAATACTTTCGAGCAATGGGAGGCACAGCTCGCCAGCTCTGACCCAGAGGTGCAGCTTGCACTTCTGTGTCACGTCAGGCAGGCGGCGGCAGCCAGTGGAGCCCTGGACTTAGGGCCCCACCCATCAAGCTCATGACCCCTGTCCCACACCCTTGCAAATAAAGTTTTTCCTTCCTTCCTTCCTTATATTGTAGCCAGTCATCAATCTCAGCAATGAGCCAAGGATAGGTTAAAGGGACCGACAACTGCCCAGAACATGAAATGAGATGACTGCACGGATGGAAAGATTGTCCCTCATAGTGACTCAAACCAACTCTATTTTTCTCACAAGTGGAGTTATATTTTTATTTCTTAATTGAAAACCGCGAAAATAGCCTGTGGTACCGCCTGGTGGCACAAGCTGCAGTTATCAGATGTACCCTATCATGTGATTGCAACTAGTGTATGCGGCCAACAATTTTTCTGTTAGTATTGAAATGTTGTTTGCTTCTTTATAATAAAAGATAATACTCCAGAAAAATGTTTTTATAGGCCTGTGTAAGTAATACACATTAAAAAGGCACAGCCTTCACATGATGTAATGATCCCATGCTCGTCAGCACGTCTTGAGCAACTTTTCTGCATGCTCATGAAACCGTGCACGTAGTTTCAGGGTCGCTAAGACTTTGGAGCGACGTGGTTTTTCTACCTACGATTTGTCTCAGAAATGACGTCTACTGCTACTCGGCTTGGCCGCGCATATGCGCAGTGGCATTTTTGGTGACTTGGCTTGGCTGATGTATCGAGAGAGTAACCACGAGACAAGCCATCCATGACACAGGCGCAACAACCATGGGCGCAGGCGCACGCAGCGTGGTACAAATACAGAGAAGCTGAACAAAGCCACATCGTCTCATCTTAACGGCTTGTTATTTTCAAGAACAGTTGTAAAGTTCAGAATAAACGTGGTTAAGCATACCTGCAGATACTTTTACGAAAGCAGAACAATGACAGCATGCACAAGTCACTAGAAGGACTACGGGCATCACAATCAATTTTCAGCGTTGCTGGAAAAAAAGGCACATCCTTGTTCAGAGCCTTTCACAAGGAGAAATACTGCTTATAAAATTACTATGTGCTTCTGGGATTAGCTACTACAGCTACAAACACTATGAAGAGCAAGCCATCTGTCGTGCAGTGAAAAACTGAGTCGAAAAAATCAGTTGCCGGTCCCTTTATTGAAAGCAAAAGTGGTTGCCCTATACCATTGAATGAAGAAACCACGGTATCATTCTATATACTCTGTGCAACTTCCCACACGACCACACAGACTAAAAAAAAGAAACACCATAAATGCACAAAAAAGAGCAGTTACTACCCTAGATTTGAACAAAGTACCGAATGGAAATTGCAAGTCTCATTTACCATGAACAGGAACTATCACTGTTTTTCAATAGTGCACATAATGTTTAATGCAACTACCAGACAGTACTAACAAGCTTTATTCAGCCAATTTTTAATAATTGTTTTGTAATCTAAAGAGCTGACACAACTGTTATCGAATGATAAATTTTTCTGGCTTATGCTTTCGTTTTTCTTTAGTTGCCTAAAAATTTTTATTATATAGCTTCTATAGTTTGTTAGTACAGTAACCTTATTTGTTATCATTAGGTTGTGTGCTGCTTAATTGTAAAAATGGCCAATAGCGCATGTTATTCCAGCATACTTTGACGTGTAACATGCGACAACAATGCACAGAGGGAAATCAAACCCACGTCTTTCGATCAGTGGCCATGACAACTATACCATGACAACTATACTACCACAGTACCCATCATAACACGGTGTCCCATGGCAGAGTCAGCATTGTATTATGTCCTATGTTGACTGCCGCTAGCTGTCTATAAAGTGGGAAACAATCTGCTATTAGTAGGGTTTCCTACAATATACAGCAAACATTTAAACCTTTATTGAGATAACCAGCAATGGCATTTTTAATAAATTTACTTGACTAAGGATGTTTTAGTAGGTTACTTTTATTGTTACAGGTGATATGAGGCTAAATAGTGCAAACAAGGTATTTATTTGCTTCAGCGATGGCTATCAAAATGGTCGTGAAGCACTTTTATAAGTCCTCATTGAGTGACCTCCTTATCGGAGTTACCTCACTTAATCGACTGCCGCAATCTAGTATGTGCGAGCAAAGTTACGAATCTGGCAACAGCAAGCCAAGTTACAGGAATTCGTTGCATGCTTCGAGCGCTTTATCTCTCGTTTCGTCTTAACGAGCCCGATGAAATAACACGGGAGGATAAAACACAGCAGGATGACTAAAGGACAAGAAGGTACATCAGTGCATGTCATAAAACAAGTTCACTCGCTCCCAGTGTAATTCCGGTCCACACTAGCATTGCAACTGTGTAATTTTAGCCCATGACGGCACCTTGTCAAAGATCCACATCTGATATAATAGCCTCTCTCAATTTGTCAGTTATTGGCCGATAGCAGTGATCTGCTCTATGACAAAAAGGGGCTGGGGCTGGCAGCTCTAAAGAGAGTGATGACAGGCCTTTGTATGAAGAGATGGTGCTTGAGAAAGTGTCAACTTCATGCTCTGATTGAAAACTCCAGGTTCTGGACAGAACTGCAAACTTTGGCTGAGCTGTTCATACCAACGTTTGCTGATCGGAAGATGTGGACTATAAACAACTTTCAATCTATTACTTCAATTTTTTAAAACTTTTTTTAGCAGTGTTTTCAATGACTGACTATCTTCATTTTCAATAACGGCGTCCATACAGTCTCGAGAGCAGCAGTCTACTTCAATGAGATGATGTCTGTTGTTGCCCAGGGCTTGCACAAAAGCAGCCAATGAGATTTTTAGTGGTGCGTGGCAGTTTATTAAGCTTCCCTCTCAGTGAGAACCCTTCTATATAACAGCTTATCATGACTAGATATAGAGAACTAGATCACTAAAAAAAATGAGGTCACATATATTCACAGTAAGACACTATTACGTTAAAAACACATATATTCACAGTAAGACACTATTACGTTAAAAAGACTCTGAAGAAGGGGGAAAATCAATTACATTAGATATAAAAAACTCATAAAAAAGTGACTTTTGAATCCGCAGCCATGAAGGCCCCACAATGGCTTCTACACTTAACTTATTGCTTACTTTTTAAAACAAAAGACTTTTCCCCATTAAAAACGGGTATTTCTGAAATTTTGAATGGCATGTAAGGCAAGTAGGACTGCATGCCGCTTACACTGTTACAGGAAATAGTTCATGTAACCTTCTTCATTTTCTTCAGTGCAGCAATACACTGTGGCAGCTGCTAATACGAAACAAACCTGCTAGACAAGTGATAGAGGGGCTAGTCAAAATGCTATGACATTTTAACGTTCGTAACTTTGCGCCAGTTATGCAATGTTCAGCAAACTAAGACACCAACTCACCCATAAACAAGTTCTTCTATACTCAAAACGAAGTTATTGCCTAACTGTTAAAACGAAAATGGAAGTGCCTATGGTGACTCAAAATTATCTCAAATACCTCATGCACACTTAAAGAGACTAATAACTGGTCAGAAGGTGTGATTACACCCTAGATTAAACAAAAAAGCTCTGCATTATAGTAAGAGATTCAAACATCTTTTTTGCAATACAAGTAGGACTATATTTTGGAACTGCATTTAAAAGACCCAAAAAACTGGTTCCTTGTGCAGCCTCACCGAAGAGTCATGGTGCTGCACTAAAGAGTCACTCTATTTGCTAACCATAGTCTGACACTTTTTTGTGCACCATAATTAGTGCTCAAAATTTGAGTATGCATATTATTATCTACCCCTACTCTATTCTGCACTGCTTACAAGATAAAAAAAACTGATGCTAGGAAGCGACACTGCCTTCGCAGCAACTAAAGGAACATGTTGAGCAGTAACAAATCGACGCAGTGCGCACACATGCACAGAGCCAACTGCGGCTCACAAACAAAAACTGCTGTTGTGCTCACCTCCCACTGTTTGCAGTATGTCACCACAAATCAGAGTCTGAGTCGCCGCAGATAAATGTTGCAGTCACCACAAATCAAAACAAATCTTGTTATAAATGTTTCACAGCATTTTTCGCGTTGCTTTCCACAGCGCTTTAGAAAATTGGTACCATAATAATTCGTAGTTGGTCTCTTTAACATTAATTTGAATGGACAGGTTGATTAAAAAAAAGTATGCTCTTTATGCTTGACTTATAAAAACAAGATAATGTTCAGGCAAAAGATTTGAATCCTTATGAAATACATGCTCAGACCACAGGAGACTTTTATCGTAACTATATGTAAAAATCAAAGCTTTTACACCAACAAAAAAGTTAAATATTTCAGCAACATTTTCCAACTAACATCAGACAGGTGATTTCCTTTATACCTTTTGTTTAAAACACAGCTACCAGCTATGTAACTCCTCCTTGGTCACTGTAAGCACGGTAGAAATATTGATGCTCCATTTACTTGATAAAGAGAGCATCAACATTGCAGCAGCAAGTAAAAAACAAGATAATTAGTAACAACGAAGTTATGCAATATGGTGCATACATCAATAAAAGACTTTATCTCGCCCAACACAAGAGACCATTCCAGCTGGTCCTCTGGCTCGTATGTGGCAGTGTAGTCATCAATCTGCTTGGCAAGTTCCTAAGAAAAAAAAACACTTGATAAAGCAAGCAATAAATCATTTGTCCCTTATAACAAAAAAATCGCATAAAAAACAGCCACACATTTTTCTTCAACTAGGTGAATCTGAATATGTTAACATTAACATAAAAATGTGCACTTCGTGTGAGTGCACTTCGCCGCTGTCTTACGCACGCTGTCACATGGAAACGTTTAGTGACACTCACTGCAATGCGTACTAGTCGGCGAGTGCAATCGACGAACTCACTTCGCTGAGACAGTGTTTAGCCTTAGTAGCAGTGGCTCGGGAATAAATAAGCTATCACCCAAGCAGAATTCATAGCATTCTTTAAAGCAGCACTGAAACACTTTTTGAGGATGCTCAGAAAACGCTCCTGATCGGTAGTAGAGGCTCCTGACAACACGCGAGCCAAATATTATAGCGCTGCACGTGGCCTGGAATTCACAATAAATTATAAAATTCAGCCGAAAATTGCTTTCTATTCTCCCGACAAATGACAGAAGATGCTCAAAAATCACTTGTACAAAGCCCATCTATCAGCCATTGGCCGATTTGAACATGGCGCACTCGGTCGTTACAAAAATCGCCGCAGGAGGCCATAAATTATCCCCGCGTGTGCCCGCGATCACACTGACAAAGTCATACATTTGAAGAAAAAAAGAAAAAGTGCTCAAGGTCATGAGTGACGTATTTCCTTTGCCCCTCCCACCCCTGCCAGCTTCGCTTCCAGTGCTTTCGTCGGAATGAGAAGAGAGAATGCAATTGCAGCATGCGACAAATATTTGTAACTCCACTCACACTAGACGGCTTCTTAAAATTTTTGCAGCATTGAATTCGTAAGGCACTAAGCTCTTCCAGTGAATTCATTCCATGGTTACTTGAATTTAAGTTTTGCAGGGCCCCTTTAAGTGTCATCTTTGCTGCTAGGAATATTCCCACGCATAAACAAATACAACTCAAGAAAAAAAAAAAAACTAGTCTTGTATTCATACTATCGGCCAGTTTACAGCCATAACAGACAGGGGCATGCCCATTACACACTGTGCAATGGCTTCAGCTATTGTCGTTTGCACGCAAAGTTTATTTTCAGGGCTACTCATAGCAGTCGACACATCATTAATTAAAAAACATTGCCTGAAATATGAAATATCTGTTGTGTTACTTAAGTAGCCATCGCTATTACTATCATTTTCAAAGTACACTTGCCTTTCCCGTGTAGTGGCGCGTGATATTCTAAGAGCCCATGTGCACCCGCTCGATGTGACACTAAATTGGCCCATGTGACCATAGTATTAGAAAATAGAGAGAGATCAGATATAGAGGACATGAACCAGACACAGTGCTTCACTGTGCCTGATTTCCATGCTGCATATTAATGCTTTTTTCTATTAACTATATCCCTCATGTTTTACCATAAATATTCCCTAAATCTAAGTCTAGTAAATATTAGACTAATATGAATTGAAGTGTCTTGCAAATCTATGTGCTCAGCTCTTGACAACTGCATCTCAGAAACAAGACAAACTTTTGTACATTTACATCAATAATTCTAAGCGAAACAGCGAGTCAGAACTCCAAATAAAAGCACCAAGTTCATTAAACTGTATTACTAACTGCTAAAGTACCAAACTACCCATTTTCAGTTTATTAACTGTGTCTGCTAATCAGGGATCACCAGCAACAAAGCACACAACCAACATTTATTGAGGGTTAGGCTGTTTCGATTGAATGTAAGCACAGAGTACCACATCTTGAGTCAATTTCAAACAGCATGAGCTATCTAGCTCCTAGCTACACTATTACCAAATGAGTGCAATGACACTAATATCCACTTGCTACGATTTGTTTACTAGTGCGAAGAACTGAACAGAAGAAGCTTCATATAAAGGCTACATGCTGTACCAAGTTTTTTTTTTTTCTGTTAGCCATTTCCCACAAGTAAATGTCTCGGAACAAATGCATCAGCACCACCTCGACAACTCTCTTCATAAACGCTTGATCGCATTCACTGCGCATAACCTTCTCTGCACAGCTCAGATGCACGGCAGAATAGGCTACACGCACACACACAACACACTAAGCGTTAAGCAGGTAAGAAAAATGCTAACATAAAGACAGGAGGGCATATACGAGCTATTCTACCTTTTTAAGCTTTGTGGCTTTGCCTTTGTGTATCTGTGTTGCAATATGCCAGTGCTTGCATAATACAGTTTGCCTATAATTTGGCACCATTCATAGACACAAAGATGCCATTGCATTTTGTGTAGCTGTTCATTATCAAGAGCACCAAACGTATGCAAGGCAGAAACTATCAAATCAGGTTGCATAAAGTGGCGGTTCTCCACCAAAGCTCACCCGCACTAGGTCTCGAACAAGCTTCATCTTCTTGAGCAGCAGACAGACGACAATAAAACGAGCATAGTAACGCAATTTTTTCACCATTAAATCTGAGCGGTGGGAGTAAGGCAAGCTCTCTTCTTTGCTCGCCTTAGAATAATATCCTCGGGCACGGATGGCCGCATAAAATGAGAATGCTTCATTCAGGTAGTTGGTTTCACTTGTTCTCAGGCTGCAAGCAAATGACAGTTGTAAGTTAGACAGTTGCTCTTTAGACGTAATGTAAATGTAGCCACTTTAGAAAAATTAAAGATACTCACTAATAATGGTAATACAACTGTCCGATCTTCGAGGCAATCTCACCTATTTGCCATCTTTTCAAACCATATTTAATGTCCAATATTTGCCTGCAGCGAAGAAACCCACAGGTTGAACGTCCGTTTTGATGGAGCACTCAACATTGAGCAAATGACAAGAGACGTACCTATGTTGTTGCTGAAATTTCCATAACTTCGTATATACGTCAAATGTTCTTCCGAAGTAAGCTTGCCATTGTTTGTGCCCATATTGAGGAAGATCCCTGCACGAAAGAGAACCTGGCTAGCAACGAAAGTAAAAAATCTGCTTCGTCAGCGATAGACAGCTTTGTATGAGGAAGACACTACAGCACACACGTCAAGCGAAATGCTGATATTGCCACTATATGTGGGAAACAGTTCCCAGAATTGGAAGTAATATGAATAAGTTCGGGGAAGGCAGAAAGACAACCGCTAAGGCAGAATATCTACTTACAATGGCATACAACATACGGAACAGCTTCGGTAAAAGACAACCTTAACTACACACGGAGTACGACCGACAGAAGCGATAAGCGTAGACTTGGCATATAGATGCTGCGTACCTCAATCCGTTGAAGAGTTGTTTGGACTTTTCCAGCAAATGACAGAATTCATTGACTACTTTCCGCTCCTGTTCCTCAATTTCACTCATAATGGCCATTCTTCGAGGCGCATGCTGTCCCAGATCTTCCGGACCACCAGAAGCAGGGCGTTTCACGTGGTCCAAGCGGTCGTAGTAAGAGGCGCTTCCCTTCTGCATCAAAAGCGCCCACCTCTCGCCGTTGCCTTGCTCAGCCGTCGCTGCCGCAACAAAACACCTGAGATATTCACGAAGGCTCGCCGCATGAGGCAGCAACCATACGATCTCCTCTTGATACTATGTGAAACTATACGCCAGTAACTCGAGGGCACGAGTTTACCACCACCAGTGTGTACAGCGACTACACATGACAACCAAACAAAAAACAAATGCCACAGATAGTAGGCCTAACTTGCTAGTGATGTATCAGTAGTAGTTCCATAGGTGGTTCCTTTCACCAACGCCAGGCGGCTAAGTTCAGCCGCACCATGGAGACTGCTGCTGTGAGCGGCTCGCATGCGCCACTTTGCTGTCCTAGAACCCTAGTGGCTGTGGCAGGGTAACTCGAATATACATCTCAAATATCCACAGCACTTGCACGTATACTGACCTCTTTTACAGGTACACAGACGCATCTACTGACCAAATAATAAGAACCGCATTCATGTTTGTAAATTGCACTTCTTGAAAACGAAAGCGAAAGTGTTTCACTTTTTAGTGCATAAAACATAGCCTTAAAGATTTGGCATTGTTCAAAAGACAATTTTGGAGGACATGCGATAACTACGACACTAAGGCGGTCCGCTAGACGTTTGTTTGTTGCCCTGAATCGTAACGTTTTATACGGGAAAACCTTGTACCTTCAATAAATATGAGTAGTGAAATTACTATTATTATTCTCACTGTTCTCGCGCCTTTTGATTGTGGCGCCCATCGTCCACTGCAGCGCAGCAGACGATGCCGCATTTGGTTTCTGATGCCCGCTCCTCCCTATGCCGCACGTTCACGCGATTTTCATTTAGTTCTAGTCGTTTATTCCTAGCTTCTTTCATTTCGCACTGAAGTTATATTTTAGAAGCTTATCTCAGCCTTTGAAAGAAGCTGAAGCGGTACGAACCGAATTTCCACAAGAAAAATGCCATATATTACGTGTAGTTCGTGAGGTTTGCAAGTGAAGCCGCCCCGAACGGTTCTTTAAAAATATATTCTACAATTATGGTATTAAGTCTATTGTACCACCCTACGGTCACAGAGATCGGGCTGTGTTCCACGCATGAAGAGCATTAATCGACCTAATTAATTATTTCAATATGTGACTTTACAGTAACTGTTCTTCCCGAAAATGCCCACGTTGCATTGCAGTCATGCTGACGGCAGCTTAATGGCTGGCGGCAGTCGCATCAAAACCACTCATGAAGAGCTAAAATAATATCATAACGCATAGATTGTTACATCATATTTGAAAATTTCTACAGTGTCTGCCACAACGGACGGGGGCAAGAAACGTTGCTCGCCGCTCCAGTCGCAGAGCAAAAATCGCGGACCGTTCGCGGTCCATGTGAAACGAAACCGCCATTAGCGGAGGTTGCGAACAGAGCGATTGGAGCGAACCGAATGATTTTTTTTTTTTTCCCACTGTGATCGTGGCATGTGAAACAGCCTTCAACCATTAATTTTCGCATGATAGCTAATTGGAGAGAATAATTTGTTTCGTTCCCATGCACTCTTTGGAGCTCTCGGCAAGATTACAACATTTATGCGAAGAGTTGTAACATTTATTTATTTATTTTAAATTTTCACTCAGAAATTAATATCCCCAACAAAGCTCATATGCAGAAAGAGGCACGTGCGTTCAGTGTTCACCTCCAGCTCGATCTGCATTTACTCGTATTCGCTAAAACAAACCCTCACGACAGTTGTGCAATTACTACATACATATAGGCGGTATTCACCTCCGAGCAAGACTGTGCTCCCGTTGCCTACGTTTCGGCTATCCGCACTGCACGCGAGCAATGAGGAGAAGGCACTACTTCCAGCCGCCATGGCTAGGGTCATGTACGTACCATGGTGTACTCTTACACTGGGGTTACACCGTGGTACGCACACATGTGCGTGCCTCTGCGTGACACTAAAGTTGAGCCATTTCTTGCGCACACCATCCATTATGATCCTTGATTGTGTCGTATTTGTGTGCAGCCATCACACAAAATGTAAGGGTGACGAGCCTGACAGTGAAAACTCAAAACCGGTCAAATTTTATTCTTCCTCGAACGTCGCAACTTTCCCAGCCTATAGGTGGCGCGACCCTACATCCAACATGGCAGTCGTTGAGATGATTGCCCTGAACACAGGGAAAGGTGGCCCTGAAAGTGACCGTACGGAGAGTACACTTTTGGTGAAGACCGCAATTTTTCGCGCTTCGGCGACCCTTAAGTTTTTGAGAAAGTATGGGAGCGCCAACATAATATATTAAGTGAATATATGCTGGGTAGCACTGGGTAAATAAATATGCGCGAAATTGTAAATATAAAAGGCACACACGTACGCACGCTCTTCACCACCTTGTGTTGTGTGTAATCGCGCACAACGAGTGGGTTCATGTTGGAAAAGTATTATAATGGGAGTCTTTGTACAAATTTCTCAGTAACCTCAGAAACATTTTTGAAGACGTGATTTGCGTTAAAGTTTTGCTTGCATTGTATTCTGCGCAAAGCTTGTTCAGCTCACCTAAAAGAGCGAAGCAGAGTAAGCTGACGAAAAAAAGTTGTTTTTCGATTCCTAAGCACCAGCACCATGTCATGTTACCAGCAATAAGATTTTATGGTGCTTTCTTGATTAAAATAAAGACAACACGATATCAAGAAACTGAATTTGGCAAGCAGCACGAACGAAACCAGTGGTAATATACAATTCTTACATTTAAGAGGGGTCGTTCCCGTTACTATTCTATGGTGCAAAAGATAGCATGGTATGGGGCAGAAACGACAAAAAAAAAAAAAGCGCCATCAGCAAGTAAGGCCGAGCAAAAATTGCTCCAGATATAAAGGTCATGGAGGCACTTCGCAGGCACCTCCTGTATAATAATGCGATGAAAGTTTTGAAACCGGTCCTTTCATTCAATTCTAGATGCGGAACGCATTCTTAATTGAGTTCTTGTACTGTTTGCACAGTGACTGTGTCGAGCAGACAATCTAAGCGAGAAAACTGCATGCAAACCTGAAAGTTACTGTACTCGTACACAAAATGGGTGCTGCATACATTCACGGGCTTTATTTGCCTGTTAATTTTAACCTTCCTAAACATTCATGGCTTTTTGGGGCGCTAATTTGAACGGGAGGTTTTACTTTTTCTCACGGTGCATGTAGGCTGTGAGCATCGAGGCTCGCAATCAGTCGGATTTTTCTTTTTCTTTCTGAAACTCAAAGGGTTCCGGTAATATCAAGGCCGTTGACAACGTTGCAAAACAACCGCAAGCGCAGTGAAACAAGCAGCAACAACTAGCTGTTGTTTGAAGCAGGTTCAAAACTTTGATAATCTCAACAGAGCTTCCGGCTGCCACCGCACAGCGACGCCACGGTACCAGGAAGTTGCGAGGTTGCGGCGAAGCGTCGTGGCGAGTTATTCAGCCGTCTTCGCCAGGCTGATTTTAACAATTAAGGCTGTCGGATGAGTGCTTGAGAGCGGTTCACCTGCAAACGGAAACTCAATTGAGTTCGGATTCTAATAGCTTTGAGTGATTCAAATGCGAACGATGGAAGGCGAAAGTAAAGAAAACCCAATAACACAGTAAATGCAGTCAGCTTCAATGCTCTGGCAGAGACGTCTGCGAAAAGCACAACACAGCGAAGTACTCAACGTCGGATTATTCATATTTATACATGCGGGTGTCTCGCAGCGGTGGTCTAGTGGCTAAGGTACTCGGCTGCTGACTCGGAGGTCGTGGGATCGAATCCCGGCTGCATTGGTTGGATTTCCGATGGAGGCGGAAATGTTGTAGCGCCGTGTGCTCAGATTTGGGTGCACGTTAAAGAACCCCAGGTGGTCGAAATCTCCGGAGCGCTCCACTACGGCGTCTCCCGTAATCATAAGGTAGTTTTGGGACGTTAAACCCCATATATCAATCAATCAATATAAGCGGATACTCTGCGAGCCTAAAAGAGGGGCACACGCTTTCCTTTTTCTTGCTAAAATGACATGGCTCAGTACACTTAAGTGTCAAAGCGCAGGTGGCTTGTAACCTTGGTCTAGTGAATAATTTAATGCTCCTGATACTTTTCATTTGATTGATCAAAGCTGTGTGTGAGTCAACCACGTCGAAATTTCAGTCTTGTGTCACCTTTACCATAATTTAATCTGCCTCATGCAGTGGTGTTTTCACGTGTATGTTCGTAGGTGCTGCTAAGCCTGCTGCCTCGACTAGATTCGTAAAACATTGGACTATAGTATCAAATTCATGGGTAAGCTCGACTTTAGCGTTTACAAATAGAATATAACTTCAGATTATCTCACCTTTGCGTCCACAACGACGCAGTCACCGTCACTTTTCAGCGAAGGTTCATAGACAAACCCATGCACTATATAGTCAAGCATTGCCCCGCCGCGGTGGTCTAGTGGCTAAGGTACTCGGCTGCTGACCCGCAGGTCGCGGGTTTGAATCCCGGCTGCGGCGGCTGCATTTCCGATGGAGGCGGAAATGTTGTAGGCCCGTGTGCTCAGATTTGGGTGCACGTTAAAGAACCCCAGGTGGTCGAAATTTCCGGAGCCCTCCACTATACGGCGTCTCTCATAATCATATGGTGGTTTTGGGACGTTAAACCCCACATATCAATCAATCAATTATAGTCAAGCATCCAACGATTTCTTGGCTTTGAGTCGTTCGTGCGTCCCAAAACTTGTATAGGCACCCGACAGTGGACCAGAGGGCGCGACGAAGCTTTTTGGGCCGCTTCAGCATTGTTGGTATCGACCACCAGGGACACCAAGAAAATGAAACTCTCGCTGAACACCACAGTGACACGATGAAGTGACAGTGCGCTTTTTGGCACGTTTTCGAAGAAAGTTTCCTGGGCGCTAATATAACCCTATCGGCAAAATTTTCTTGGGCCAAGCGTGGTAAATCATCAGTGCCAAGGCTGTCCATGCTTGAAAAGTTATTGATGGCCAAGGAAAGTATGTGCTTGGGAAGTCTGACAAGCCTACCATTGGCCAAGCAAAGGAGGGCCGTGCTTGGAAAATCATTGTAAACACCCCTTTCCATGGTTGGCACTGTGTTAGAATACCATGCAATTGCCAAACATGTTCTTGGCATAGGTGCCAAGCATTTTGGCTTATGCGATTTCTGGCACATTTATTTTACTTTTTTGTCTTGGCTACAATTTGATGCCCAGCTACTTTTTTATTAGATTTTCACATGCC